GTGCCGGGCTCGGTGGCTCAACCTGTAATCCCACACCTTTGGGAGGCTGAGGTGAGTGGATTGCCTGAGCCCGCGGGTTCAAGACCCACCTGGGCAACTTGGCGAGACCTCATCTCTACAATAAATCAAAAATGAGCCGGGCGTGGTAGTATGTGCCTGTAGTTCCAGCTACTTGGAAGGCTGAGGCGGAAGGATCGCCAGAGCCCAGCAGGTCGAGGCTGTGGTGGCCGGGAGCGGCCACTGCACTCCAGTCTGGGCGACAGAGTGAGACTCCAACTCAAAAAAAAAAAAAAAAAAAAAAAAAAAGTATGTTTTTTGGAAAATTCATCACTGGGAACGGTGGCTCATGCCTGTACTCCTAACACTTTGGGAGGCCAAGGCAGCAGGGTCATTTGATGCTAGGCATTTAAGACCAGCCAGGTCAATGAGGTGAGACAACTATCTCTACAAAAACTTTTTAAAAAATTTGCCAGTACAGTGGTGTGCGCCTGTATTCCCAGCTATTCAAGAGGCTGAGGTGGACCACGGGAGGCCCAGAAGGTCAAAGCTGCAGTGAGCCAAGATTCCTCCAGCCTGGGGAACAGAGCGAGACTCTGTCTCTAAAAAGAAGGAAAAAAAATTAATTTATGAAGTAGACCCAAACCCTTTTGCTATACTATTTAACTATTTCTGAGTGAGTTATATCTATATCAAAGTGGACATGGTTTTCATGTTCAAATGCAAGGGAACCTAGTTCTTTGTTTAGTATTTATAGCAAAGTCAATTTTAAGGGCACTGAGTCAAACAGGAGTAAAGAATGACTGTTATTTGCTGGTCAACTGTGTCGTCTTAAAAGGTGGCTGGGCTAATTCATTTGCCAAACTAGGGGAATTTCAACTTTCACCCTGGTGTGGCAGAGTGGGTGGAAATGTAAAACAAATGTATTTTCTTTTTGTGTGTTTGTTTGCTTGTTTGAATTCGGGTCTCACTCAGTTAAGCTGGAATGCAATGGCATGATCACAGCTCAGTACAGCTTCAACCTTCTGGACTCAAGAGCCATCCTTCCACCTTAGCGTCCCGAGTAACTGGAACTGTAGGCATGTGCCATCACGTGTGGCCAATTTTTTTTTATTTTTTGGAGAGATAGAATTTTACTTTGTAGCCCAGGTTGGTCTCAAACTCCTGGGCTCAAGTAACCCTCCCACCTCAACCTCCCAAAGTACTGGGATTGCAGGTAGGCTGAGTTGGAATTCTCTATATTCCAACTCCCAGACTTTCTCAGTGAGTCTTTGGCGCTTTTGCAATGGGACTGGCCTTACATAATTTGGTTTCCACACCTGTGCTCATGAACAGACCTATCTGCTCACTGCCTTGTAAAGAAGATGGCACTAGAAGACAAAGGAGACACAGAAATGAGGTCCCATTTCCAGCAGGAAAACAGGGCCTGTTCCCAGGAACCTCTAGTCTGAGGAAGGTGATCTGGGTCTCAACTCTACACCCTGTGCTGCTGAGGGTCTCCTCTCCTTGTTCCAGGTTAGGCACTCCAACTAATTCCTGCATAAGCAAAGCATAATTTAAAAGTGTATGATTACTCCACCTACTTCTAAAAAAGGGACAGGAGTCGATGGCTTACTAATAAAAAAGCATAAAGAGAATAAAACCAAAATCCATGAGTATGAGAATAAAAGGAAAGAGTCAAGCAGGACAGTTAAACCAGAGGCACCAGGATAGGAGAAGCTGCAGCAGATTGAGCAGGAAGCTTTGCTATGAGTTTCCTGGCAAACCAAGTAAAGTAGAAAATGAGCTCATTTGCTTGCTAAGAGGAAACAGACCAGCTCACTGGGGAAACATTCTTTCCCAGCTATTGAGTTATAGAGCATATTAGCTGAGTGGGTCTTTCTAGAAGTTCAGAGGACAGGCTGGTGGAAGGGGTCTCCAGCAACAGTCTTGTCCAACACACAGAAACACTTCCTCCTGTGCTGCTGCATCCCCATTGAGCCTCTTTGGCGGGTAGGGGGCTCAGGCTGAGTCACCTGTGAAGGTTGTTCAGAAGGGTTCAGGCCAGAGCTCTGTGAGACAAGAGAGCAGCCTCAGAGTGGCTTGCGATGGGGCTAGCCCTGTCATACAGGGAGGAGAGAGAAGTGCCCACTGCAAGCTCACCCCTCTGGAACATGACCACTTGGGTTGGGCTGCAGAAGTTGTGCAGTAGCATAGGGGTCACGACTGACTGTCTGCCATGCAGAGGCAGGTGTTCTCTGTGAATAGTTGGAAGTTAAGTCCATGTTCTTTTCACTCTTTCATAGCACCTACTTGAGCTAGGCCCTGAGCGGGGTGCCAAGGGTACATTGGGTCCCATAACACGTACAGTGCTTGCTGTTACAGTTGCCACCCAGAAAATGACCAGGTCCTGCAGGAGCCCAGAGGGAGATATGGAGATGTTAGGGAAGGCTTCCTGGAGGCAGTGTTTTTGGGGATGAGATTGAAGAAGAAAGAGAAGTTAGACCAGTAGAAAAGAAGGTCAAGGACACCAGGTGATGGGAACAGCATGTGCTCAGCAAAGAGCCAGGATGCTATGTACTGAGCCAGGGAAGCCGAAGGAAGGTACTGCTGGACGAGGTGGGAGAAAAGGAGGGCCAGGCCAGCATGGGCTGTGTGCACCTGGCCAGGGAGCCTACCTTCTACCCTGAAAGCCAGGCTTTTGGCAAGGACAGGCAAAGCCGGCGTGATGTGGGACTGGAGAGAGGACAGTGTGCCTGGTTTTTGCCTACATGAATGAGGAGACGGACCTCTACCAGCCTTCTTCCTGGCCTGCTCACTTGGCTGATGCCTGAACCTTCCAGGCAGAGACAGGCATGTTAGGAGGACCAGAAAGCATAATGAGGATGCCCTTTGACACCCTCTATCTGGTAGGATCTCCTTCCCCATTTAACAGGTGTGTCAACTAACCTCAGAATGACTGGCTTACAGCTACAAGTCTCCTTAGCCAACCCAGAACTGAATGGAATGGCAGGGCCTGCCCACTCTTAGGGTCACTTCATAGGCCTGGGCCCTTTTAGCTATTCTAGGCAGGACCTTGGCTTCATTCATCCTGGGGCTATGGGGAGGTCTTCAGAATAGGACCCTTGTCTTCTGACAGCCACCAGTCTGCCAGCAGCATCCAGTAGCTACCTGGGGGTCTCCTCTGTGATAAACATTTCCTTCTGGACCACCTTCCTGCCCTGCAGGAAACCCTGCAGTGGGAAGTAGGACAACTACCTAGTGACCCACCCCAAATGTGACCTTCCCCCACCCTGACACCCATGGTTTTCCCCAGTCTGATTCTAACCTCCTCCAGCCTGATTGTGCCCCCTGCTCTGCCATCAAGCAGAACCACTCACGGCTTTCTTCAGTGGGACGTTCTCTGCCCAGCATGTCTGTAGCCCCTCAGGCAGACGGAAGAGCAGAAGCAAAGAGTCTGGGGCAGGAGGGATTATGTTTGCACAAGTGGGAGCAGCCTGTGTGTCTGAAACCCAGAAGGCAAGGGAAGGACCTGGTGTATGAGGGGAGGGTGGAGAGGCATTAGGTCGTACTTTTGTCTTGGTCCCAAGAGCAGTGGATGGGAAATGTCATTTGTGAGGATTTAGGCAGGGAGTGGTAAGCAGTTTTATTCTGTGAAAAGCTCGCTGTGGAAAACAGTATGGAGTCAGGGAGACCCAGGAAGGGGTGGCTGAGGTTGTCCAGGTGGGAGAGGGTTGTCTAAGCTGGAGCTCTCTCAGATTCATTCCCCAGAAACTTTTCTCTGACCTGATACTCCACCCAGACTCGTTGGGAGGGTAGAACAAGTGGTCACCATGAGGTAAAACTGGAGGAGTCAGCTGGGCTCGGTGTCTCAGCCTGTAATCCTGCGCCTTTGGGAGGCTGAAGTGAGTGGATTGCCTGAGCCCATGGGTTTGAGACCCGCCTGGGCAGCAGGACCTCATCTCTACAGTAAATTAAACAATTAGCCGGGCGTGGTAGCGCATGCCTGTAATTCCAGCTACTTGGAAGGCTGAGGCAGAAGGATCACCGGAGGCCAGCAGGTGGAGGCTGCGGTGGCTGGGAGCAGCCACTGCACTCCAGTCTGGGTGACAGAGTGAGACTCCAACTCAAAAAAACAAAAGCTGGAGGAGTCCAGAGATGCCTGGCCCCGCTGAAGACAAATGGGCACCCATGAAAATGGGACGGGATTGCTGAACTGTGTGGTCCCGGATCCCGTTCCAGAGTATTGTGTTTATCTGCTGATGGATGGATGAATGGATGGATGAGCAGATGGATACATGGACACACAGACAGATGGGTGGATGGATGGATAATGACCCGATAGATGGATGGGAGGATGAGTGGTGAGTTGGTGGCTGGAAGGATGAATGAATGAGTAGTTGGATGGATGGTGGAGGGATGGACAGATAGATGAATGGATGTATAGGTAGACTTTGGATAGTGAATGGGTGGGTAGTTGGATGGATGCTTGGATAGATGGATGGATGGTAAGATAAGTGGATGGAAGGATGGTTGGATGGAGGGTGGATGACATCTTCACTTAGATGTAGGCTGTGTCTGACCTGAAGCATTATCTCCTTCTGAAGATATTCATAGGAGACCCAGAGTCATGGCCCCTTACCTTTCTCATGACCTTCCTGGACATTGAAATGCACTCAGCCCCTCCTGACTTCTCAAAGCCCTTTTGCTCCAGAATTTTTCTTTCCCAGACTTTCACAATGTGACTCCCCAAATTGCCTCCCCAACCAACACTCTCTTAGCTGTGTCAGTTGAAAGATCTAAGAGGTTGTCTTCCTACCAGCAGTCCCTCCTTTGAGCTGCTGTGTGTCCAGCTGCCTGTTGCCTGGAGCAGAGGCTCATGAAGGCATGTAGAGGGTGGCAGCTGTCTGGTTTCCACCTTGGGCTTTATTTTCCCAGCCCCTCCCACAGGTCCTGCTCTGTGTCCCTGTTCCAGATATCAGGCAAGTTGGGCCAGTCATCTCGACAGGAGCTGGTGTGTCTCTTCATAACAGGTTGGGGACAATGTAGTCGGTGTGGACACTGTCAATCAGCCCTTCCCCATTTTTGTGGACAAACCAGCAGGTGACCTTTGTGCTGACCCTGGCATCCTTTCTGTAGTCTCTCTAGGAGCCGCTGGGAGAAAGAAGGAACATGCTGTGATACACAGGGTGGGTATGATGGGTGCCATGGTCAGGGACCTGAGATTGGAAGAGGGTGTGAAGCTGGCAATTCTAAGAGCCCAAAATTCTTTGGTCAAGAATGTGATCACCTAATTACACCTTCTAGGAGACCAAGCTTGAACTTTCCTTGAATAGGAGGACCTTAGAGGGGGCCAAGACCTCAAAGGAAAACAAGGGTACCCCACATAAAACAAGGGTATCCCACCAGGCAAATGAGCCTGGGAAGAGAGAGTTGTTTCCTCCTGAATTGTTGCTGGGTGGGAAAGGGTGTCAGAAGAGGCCCCTCACCCGGTGACAGTCAGTCGATTGTGGCATCTGGCTTTGTGGGGTCAGGGCCTGGGTGGATAGCAGACACTTAAAAGTCAAAAGGGTGGAAGAATTGTCCTGGGAACGAAAACATTCATACTGTTAGCTCCTGGCCACTGGCATGTGTAACGTGACCAATGGCCATTAAGGGTTGACGGAAAGGCTGAATGGGGTGTCGTGAGCTAGGTACAGGATGACTAGGAAGGCCCTGTGCATCTCTTTCCCACACTGCTCTCTGACCTGAATAAGCCATGGTCTGAACTTTGCATACCCAGCAGCCCATGTATCTGTGCTGACTGTCCACCACATAGAAGGCTAGAAAGTTATGGTGGATGGCATGTTTCTTCCAAACCTGGTGCAGGACAACCACAAAGGTGACCACATCTCCAAAGGAGACCATCGTGTTCTTCTTTCTGTTGATCATCACGGATAGCCTACAAGAGGAGAGGAGGTCAGCAGGCGGCTGTGAAGCCAGTGGCCATGACAATGGGCATCTGAATCAAGGATGACTTGGCAAGGCCATCTCTGTCCATAGCATCTGAAAGCGCAGACTCCAGGAACTACCTCAGGAGTGTTGCAAAGAGGATGCCTCATGCATGTTCTCTATGCCCTCCGTCAAGTGGATCTTACTCTTCTGTAAGCAGGAGAGGGCTGGCCTGGGAGTCTAGAGGTCTGGGATCTGGCCCCAGCACAGCACTTACTTCCTGTGCGGCATTGGGCAGATCTGCCCCTTCTCTGAGCCTCAGTGGGAGTAGCACTCCTACACTGCCCACCTGGCTCTGGGGCATCGGAAGCCATGGGAGAGAGTGAGGAGTTTAGAACTAACAAGTTCAGCCGCAGAAGGTGCAAATGGGGTTATTGTTGTGATCACCTAATGCTTTCCTCCAGCCAGCCCTTCCCTCAAAGTCAGTCCTGTGAACTGTCCAGTTGCCAATTCTGGCTCTGATGGGGCCCCAAGGATTGGTTGGGGGCCATCATGGTCACTCTCTTCTGTGGCGGGGGCCTGGGTTCAGGCCACTGGTCTTTCCTGTGACCTCCATGGACTTCCTGTCCTGGGTTTTGTCCAAATCCTTCAAGAGCCTCCTTAGTCTCTCAGGCCGTAGTGTCCCTTGGAGACCTTGTAGAGGAACTTACCCATCTTGCGTGACTGTGACTGTGTCCAGCCATCTGAAAGTGCTCTGCGCAGCCCCGTTCCACAGGGTGATCTTCTCCGTCGTCACCTCAATCTGCAAGTCCATCTGAGCATTGGCATTCCCAGTTTTCCAAAGTAAGTCTTTCTGGTCTTGG